AGAGAGCACATACCTATGATTTCATTAACGAGTAAGATAAATGGACAGGCAATAGTTGGATATCCTGTCCAAATTGAAGTGCTTAGTTCTTCTGATAGCCTCCTTTGGGCAACTGAGTGCAATTTTCCAGTATCATCTGATAATGATACTGCACTCCAACCTATTTGGAGGACTGCTCGCAGGACTGCAAATGTTCGTGTTCCGCGGCCCCATGCATCACCAGGGTTGGATAATCCCAAAGGAACCAAGCACGTCCAAGGTTTTGACTGCAACAAAAGTGTCAAAAATGCTAGTGTAAGCGGCATTGTTCAAAAGGGAAGCATGACAAGGACAACTTCCCAGCCTGCCACAGTGAGAACATTTGCAAGAAAGTCTGGAAAAAGGAATAATTTATCTTCCTATCAAAAGGTTAGAACACTTAAATCTATAGCCTTGCAGCAGAAACGTAGTGATCAGAAGGGTAGTTCCAACTGTCATCAAGTGGATGGGACAATCAAACGAGAGACACTGCCAACAGTCATTGCTTGTATTCCAGTTAAGCTAGTGTTCAGTAGGCTAAGTGAGGAATTGGTGGGTCGTCATCAATAATCATTTCTGCTGGGGCTGAAGGACATTCAATACAAACAATAACATAGTGATTTGTAAAAGTTTGGAGAAATATAATAATACTGCACCAGCTAGAAGACGGTTTTTTAGTTTATCTTTTTTGGTCCAGACAAAGGCAACCCCCATATGTATCTGATCTGAGCAGCTTGATTGTCAAGGTAAAGCAGGCAAGGCATACCATAGGAAATTGCTTAGGATGGTATTACAGTTGTACATGGTTTCTTTCATAAGTAAACTTTTTTTCTTTAGCTTTTTTCTTCAGGCATGGAAGTGTGAAAAGCTGAAGGTGGGTTAGCCACAGATAGTAGACTCTCTATATATGACATTATGTATGTAAATTGTACTAACTTAAGCTATCTATGTATGACTTGGTGCCACAAACTTGTGGCTTTTACTCTCCACTTTCCCCATGTGAAATCAAATAATCTCATTATGAACTTTCATCAGACTCAGCTGTATCTCTAAGGCAAGGAAAATCTTACTTACGCTGAAGTCTATGTCAAGTAAAAGAATGCATATAATTTTTTGTAATTTAATCAATAGTGAAGTGATGAGTTTCAAGTTTGACTTGGTTGGAGCAACTTCGTTTATTGTTTACAAAAAAAAATTGTTTCAAAAGAAAGTTTGACTCCTTGTAATTAGCTAATGCACAAGTGCCATAAAACTTGTATTTTAATGTTGAACTTGATCTTTTTTCCCTTAGATAAATGAGTTTGTTAGTTCTCATTAACACATCTTAATAAATGGTGCTATTTTTTATTTTTTTTTTGGTTGTATCCCATATTTAGTGCACTAACTAATTCAATTTTTTTGTTGCACATAAGCCTACTAACAAATTAAACAAACTAGTTCTAAATTGTAATGGACTCAATTTTAAATCTTTAATCAAGAATAAAACAATTTTAATCACCATTACATAATCACATTCCTTCCAAATTACCTGCAAATGATAAATGTTTTAATCGTCTCTTCTCGGGAGCAAAATTTATCCAATTAAATTGGATCTTTTAAAAAACTTCAATTTGTATCTCGTATAAGTTGTCTTAAGATTTCTTTTTGCTTTGTGAAACAAAAAAACACACAGATAAAGTTTCTCAACAAATTGTAAAGGAATATAGCCGTTGGAACCCTAGAATCCTCGTGGCGGCGACTAGCCGTTGGGATACAAAAAATAAAAAAGAAAAACCAACATACACATTACATAAACTCTTGATCGGTCCCCATGAAGCAATAATCATAATCATTATCTTTGTTTGCAGGACACAACTCGGGTCCTCTATCTTCTTCTTCTCTCTCTTCTCAAGCAAATCCGCAACGCGCACTTCCATTTTACTTGCTTTAATTTGTTCTTCAGTATTGTTATTGTTATTATAACTCTGATCTTCGTTTTGCAGGCTGTAATATTCTTGTTTCGTTTTTTTTATTGTGATCTCTGGTTTTGTATCTTTTTTTTTTGTGCTAACACCATGGATGCAGGATCATTGAGTTCTGTCTCAGCAAGTAAGAACAAATCTCGTTGCCCTCTTCAGGAACAATATCTACAAAAGAGAAATTCTCGGGATAATGTAAGTTGGTTCTCTACTTGCTTCCGATTATGGACTCTAGAAAGTACTAATTGTTTCAATTTATTGGTATAATCTGTGTTACACTTGGATTTTGAAATTAAGAAATAGGCTAAAAGGGAGATGGGTTTTCATATACTACGTGTCATCTGGGGTTGGGTTTAATTTTTATAGAACAAATTTGAGGTTTTATGTGAGTTTCTGATATGTGGTACTTTAGCCGAGTGTCTTTCGGAAACAATCTCTCTACCTCCGGAAGGTAGGGTCAGGTTGACATGCACTCTAACCTCTGGGTATGTTGTCGTTTTATGTGAGTTCTAAAGAGGAGGGCATTAACATAGACATTGATTGCTGATTTGGGTTATTACAGTTGGTTAGTTTCATTGCAGTTCTACTAACCACAGGTTATTTTCTCTAAAATGTACCACTTGTTTCCTTTTTTTGCCACAATTTGTATTATATTGAATTTTGAACTAAGAGGTCAAAAGGGAGATGATTTTTCATCACTTTGCCATCTGGGGTTGGCTATGATTTTGTAGAATTAATTGAGGTTACTTAGACTTGTTTTATGTGAGTTCTTAGAAGAGGAGGGCTTTGACATAGACATTGATTGTTGATTTGTGTTACTACAGTTGGATAGGTTCATTCCTAATCGTTCGGCAATGGATATGGACTATGCACATTACATGTTGACAGAGGGAAGGAAAGGTAAGGAAAATCCAGCTGTTGATTCTCCCTCCAGAGAGGCATACAGGAAGCAGCTTGCGGAAACATTCAACATGAACAGGTCCCGCATATTGGCGTTCAAGAACAAGCCACCCACTTCTGTTGAGGGTATTCCAAACGACTTCTCATCATCTGTTCACCAACAGGCGAAGACTGCTAAACCGCGTCGATACATTCCTCAGGTGAGTTTACTTAGGTTGTCTAAAGTGAGTATTACATTTCATGAGTTATTGTGCCAATTGTGCTTAACTTTTAAGTCCAAGATTTAGGCATATTGCTGTAAATAGTAACTGTTACTGAATCCCATCCTTATCAGTTTCATCGGTATATTTTTGCAGACCTCTGAAAGGACATTAGATGCTCCAGATCTAGTGGATGACTACTATTTGAATTTGTTAGATTGGGGCAGCAGCAATGTTCTTTCTATTGCTCTAGGCAGCACTGTATATCTGTGGGATGCATCTGATGGTGCCACTTCAGAATTGGTCACTGTTGACGAAGAGCATGGTCCTGTTACAAGTGTTAAATGGGCTCCTGATGGTAGACATATTGCTCTTGGTTTGAACAATTCCGATGTTCAGCTCTGGGATACAACGGCAAATCGGCTGGTTTGTTTCTTGAAATTTTCTGTTCATGTTGTTTATTTTGAGCGATTCTTATGCTAATATATGATTTTATACATTGGTGCAGCTGAGAACTATGAGAGGTGGTCACAGATCCCGAGTTGGCGCTCTAGATTGGAACAATCACTTATTAACAACTGGGGGCATGGATGGTCAGATCAGAAACAATGATGTGAGAGTGAGATCGCCAATTGTTGATACCTACCAAGGACATAACCAAGAAGTTTGTGGTTTAAAATGGTCAGCCTCTGGTCAACAATTAGCTAGTGGTGGAAATGATAATCTCCTCCATATATGGGACAGGTCAATGGCTTCTTCCAACACATCAACAGAGTGGCTTCACAGGCTTGAAGATCATACAGCTGCCGTTAAGGCCCTTGCTTGGTGTCCTTTCCAGGGTAACTTACTAGCCTCTGGTGGTGGTGGAGGTGACAGGTCCATTAAGTTCTGGAACACCCATACTGGTGCTTGCTTGAACTCTATCGATACAGGCTCTCAGGTTTGTGCCCTGCTATGGAACAAGAACGAACGTGAGCTCCTAAGTTCACATGGTTTCACAAAGAATCAGCTCACTCTTTGGAAATACCCTTCCATGGTAAAGACAGCCGAGCTCACTGGTCACACATCCAGAGTTCTTTTTATGGCACAGGTACATGATTCTTAAGTAATTTTGTTGCATTTTTTGCAGTACACAAGAAAGAAAGGAACTAATTTTCTGGTTAAATTTGTTGCAGAGTCCAGATGGTTGCACGGTGGCATCTGCAGCTGGGGATGAAACTCTTAGATTTTGGAATGTATTTGGTACTCCTGAAGTTGCAAAGCCTGCACCAAAGGCAAACACTGAGCCATTTGCTCACCTTAACCGTATTCGGTGAATTGTGAGGGACACCATATATTTATTGCGAGAGTGATTGAATTTCTGTAAAGTCTATATAGCTCAAAATGCTCATGAACCAGACAACTGCTGTATTTATTGTGTAAAATGAGATACTTTGGTTCATTTTCTGTATATGTTCGTTGGTGAAGTTCGTGTAAATGGAGGAGCTATTTGTTTGCGATAATCTTTCTTGGTCACATATAGTGACAAAAAGCATGTGTAAAAAGATAAAAAGCAAAGGTTCTTCATCATAAGAATATTGTATCATTGTGAAACCTTTGGAGGGGTTCTACTCCCTGAATAAAGATGCATATACATTTCTTACTCCCAAACAATTGGCCTAGATTATTAAAAATGTGTCCCTCCATCAGTTCCATTGTGTTTTCCTTTTTCAACTCTATCAACCTGCACTTTACAGGAACAATTTGATCCACCCAAATTCAGCCCAATCCGCCCATTTGACACCTCTTCCATTATTACATCTCTCTGAAGTTCTTAAATCTATTGAGTTTCTTTCTGTTTATCAAATTTTCAGCAACATTGAAAGAGTAATTTCTTTGGGAGGATTTGGATGGTACAACTTTTCTTCCCCAACACAGAGCGAACTTGATAGAAGTAAAAGATTCATATTATTTATAATACAAATATTTGATAGCATCTTATTCTGCACTCTTTACTACAGATTCAAATTTTTTAAAAAAATCACTACAGATTGAAAGAAATTTAAACATAAGCTGGCTTCTCAAGATCCTCGAGTGGGCGGAAGAAGGCCTTCTGTTCCAACACAGAATCTACACTAGCAGTCACAGCCCTGATACCGATATGATGATCAGTGGCTGGTCCAAACACACCAGTATGAGGATGAGGAGTCCAGTACTTATCCGATTTCGCCTTGATCACTTCATCTGGCACCAGCACAGACTCCTCCAGATTCTTATCGTACACTGATGCATGCACTGCCCTCCTGCACAAAAAACACACACATATAAATAAGGATCAAGGATCTGAACTTTACGACACAAACCATTCAATTTCCTGAGTTCGAAATCAATGAAGTACTACTTATTCAATGATTTTCTAATACATACACAAGATCCGAGCCAAAACTTTGATTAATATAGTTCAAAAATCCCTTCTTCAAGCTAACGAATCCACGGTTCTGTAAACTGGTGGCCATTCAAATATGGATTACTAGTTTGAAAAAAAAGGGATTAAAGTTCTTAATTACTACTTTTCAACACAATAAAGCAAATGAGTAAGAAGAATTAGATGAAATGCTCAATGTAATGATGATTTTGAGTCTCCGCCTCTATTTCTCTATTTATAGAGAAAAACTCAAGACTTCAGAGTGGACTACAGTAACAATTTACTAATTTTATTAATTATTACTATTATTGTTTACTGTATATTAAACAAAGATTACCAAGGATGTATTAGCAATAATATTTGATTACTCTTGCATTAATTCAAACTAATCTTTGTGCCATCTTATTTTTTGGTCACATAAAGTCTGTGGACTAGAAAAAAAAATTCTTTGTGCCGTCTTATTAATTTTATTATTTTTTTTTAATATATCCTTATAAATTATTATTTACTTCATTTACTTTTAATTATTTAAGGTGCGAAAAATATGGAAGACAATTTTTTTTCCTGTTCTTCCTTTATAGCATTAAGTACTCATTCAAAATTATTTTTTCAATTCAATTCAATATTTTTTTAAGGGATTGAACTAGTTGCATTTATTATGTTTTGTTTTACTACATTAAAATTCAGAATTAAAATACCGTGTCACTAAAAGTCATTGTGTATAATACGAGTAAACGCATAATTTGTTAGGTTATGGAGTCTGATTAATATATATAACTGTTTACGCGGTTTAACCTTAGGTTTTACTATTTATTCTCTGTAACAAAAAATACTCTGATTTATTAATAAAAATATACCTCACTGTCGTGGAAGTTTACTCACGGGGTGTTACCACGAAATATTGGATTTTCTCTTTCTCTCTCTAGATCTCTCGTCTCTTTCTCTTGAAAGTTCTTGTGTTCTTCATTCATCAAGTGTGTGTGCGTGAATTTGATCCTAACATAATTATGGCTAAATATACTTATTAAGGATATTATCAATATCGCATTAATTTATTAAAAGATGAGAACCATTGTAATTTTTATTTATGGTCATGAGGGATACTTAAACCTCTGTCAGCTGTGATGTTATATTGAACTAAATGAATTATTTATTTATGAGAATATAGTGGCATGACTTTTATCTTTTAAAAACATGTGAAGGTGGATGGCTGGATAAAACTTGTGACTATATAAAATGGGGGGGCTGGTATAAAAAATAATAATTGGATCATTTTGACTTCAATATTAAATTTAAAAAATGAATGTACTCTTAAAAATTAACTTATGAAAAAATGATATTGTTTAAAATTATAATAAGAAATCCATTTGCCCGGCCTACAAATGGACTCCAATATTTTATTTCATTTTCATAAGATTGAATAAATAGAAGAAAATATTAAATAAAATATCTAGTACTCTAGCTTTATGATTTTTTTTTTTAAGTTTATGTTTTTCTATCGACTATGTAACAGTAAGCTCCCAATTAGAACTCTTGATAAAGCCACCAGATTAAAGTCAAAGCTCACATGTTTAATTATTAATTAGCTAAATTAGCCTCTAAGTGCGACACTGTGATTTTAAAAGTTTTTTGCATAGATTTCACCACTCCCACGAGAGAAAACTAAACTTAATTAAAAAATTAAAAAATATATGATAATTGAACTACAATTAAAAATTTAAAAGGTAACGTATATTAACTTTATACAATTTAATAAAAAGTTTGTCATTATTAAGTTATTTCTTCTTATCTTCCTTAATTTTGATAATAAAATTATATCATATTTATTAATAGTGGGATATGAAAAATAATTTGTGAAATTAATTGAAGTATGCATAACCTAATTCAAATACTGTGATTAAAAAAAGGGATAATTATATAGAATGACAAATTAATAATATAAAATAAATATAGTAGCTATCCTTTAATATATTTGTGTTCCATAACATACTGTTTGTCAGTCCCTCTAACGCATGCAAATACATCAGAGTTGGCTCGATAGTGTTAAAAAAAAGACATGTGTCTTAGGCCTCAAATTTTAGGGGCCTCATTTTTTTTTAATAATAATAGGTTATAAGTTATTATCTTTTAAACAAATATTGAATACTATTTGTAGAAAAAATAAACAATTCATGAAAAAGAAGGGATTAATAGAAGAAATTCGACATATTTAGAGTATTATATCTCATGAGAAATAATTTAAAATAAGAATGGTTATATTATCAAATGAAAACTAGAATAAATCAATTATATAAGAGTTATTAACAATTTAAGTTTAAGGCCCTACTTGTCATGAAGAAGTGCAATGCAAAAGAACGCCTTTTTTCTGGAGGCCTCAGGCAGTGGGTTTTTACTTGAGGTCACTAATACGCTTGAGTCGCCCCTAAAATACATATATCTTCATCCTATACACTTATAATTATATAATACAAATATTTCCCAGAACAAGTCTCTTTTGCCTTTCTCATTTTATACAAATTCAAATTGTATATAATTTCTCTCTTTCTCGTTTTATACAATTCGATTCAATTGTATATTCCCTGCACAAGTCTTTTTATCTTTCTCGTTTTATACAAATTCAAATTGTATATAATTTCTCTCTTTCTCGTTTTATACAATTCAATTCTGCCTTTCTCGCTTTCTCGTTTTATATAATTCAAATTGTTTATAATTTTTCTCTCTCATTTTGTACAATTCGTTTTATACAATTCGCTTCAATTGTATATGTATAGCAAATTATACATATACAAATTTGCTATGAAGCGCAATTATATAAACTTTGTTATAACATACAAATATGAATTTTATGTTTATTATACGTGAAAGTCGCCAAAAAGAACTATTGCAACTTGCAAGGGTCTCACAGCTTCCACTAGCAAACATTTAACTTTATAAAATGAAACTATAAGATCGTGAAACACCATTAAAAGATAAACTTATAACTTTATAAAATGAAACTACAAGATCGTGAAACACCATTACATGATAAACTTTTGTTTTTTAAAAGCAGTATGTATTTTAAAAATAGTTGAATTCCAAGATATTTTACGTTTCAGTCTAAATTGTTAGGCCACAGAAATAAGTAGTGCAACTAATTAAAATATATCTTAAAGTCTTATTTAGGAGCCTGGTAACCAAGTTTGAAAATATTTACTTAAAAGTATACATATGATGAAACATATTTATTACTAATATAAAAATCCACTCAACTAGTCAACTGAAATCCCCGTGTTGTACCCGTTTCATTCGTTTTAGGGATAATAACTAGGCGGGGTGAGATATGATAAATTAATTTTTTTTTAAAAAAATATTAAACAAAATAAAATAAGTTAAAAAATTTGTCCCGCCTTATTTTATTTACATTTTCGGCTTATAATTATTTTTGTGAGTAGTGAAAATGTCAAATTATTTGTGAAGATGAAATATTCGTATAGAAATTAAAGATAAAAGGGCATATGCAAAGTTATTATTCTATTAAACGTGTGGTGGTCACATATATAATACTAACGTGCCGTTGAGTACTAATTATAATATCCATTGATTGATTATTGCAGTATTTATTCCAAAACTTTAAGTAGCAACCGATAATACATTAAATCTAGTGGGACAGGAGAATAAAATGACATTAAATTGTACTTTCCTTAGCAACATCAACACGTGTTTTATTTATATGAACCAAACATCAAAACATTTGGATCGGAGATTAATAAAAATAAAAGGTATAATGCATAAGTATTTTTTTAATTTATGTCTAAAATTTTAGAGATATATTTATACTATTTAAAGTCCTATTATCCCTAAATTTATTTTATAAATAGTGTTCTACCACTTTTTGGCCTACGTGATACTATCTCGTTGGTTCAACATTGATTGCTTTTTTTGTTCAAGCTAGTGTCACGTAAGTAAAAAATAAAATAAAAAACTACTTATAAAATAAGTTAAAAATTAATATAAAACCTTAATATAGTATAAGTGAGTTTTATATTACATGCTCACGATAACAATAGAGCGAGACAGACAGGGTTTAACATGACGGGTTGGGCAAGAAAAGATTTAACCGAGACAGGTCAAATTAATACACATTTTTTTGAGAAAATAATGCACGAGGGGGCTAGCTAGGCAGGTGGCTAGGAATATAACTAACCAGAAGTAACTTCACAACCTAATAAAATATGTGTGAAATTAATAATGAAATTGATAAAACTTTAATTAAATAACATGAAAGACAGGTTCCTCCATCAGTTAGAGCCTCTGCCAGATCAAACATTAACACTTAAGCCTCTCGATGTTAAAAAAAATTGCATAAGTATCTTCTAAGTTATATCAAAATTTTAGAGACACATTTTTAGCTGATTAGATTTTCTTATAAACGACGAGATTAGCATAAAAGTTTTATTTATGGTTGATTTAGTGTTTGTGAAATTAGGTCCTACGTCTAACTCACACTCCAAAAGCTAGCTCAAAGGAAGGAGGATTGCCCAACCCTTATAAGGAATCCACTAATTTCATTAATCAATGATGTGAACTTTTTTGTCATTCTTTAACACCCCACCTTACGCCTAGTGCTTACCATCTGGTGCGTGGACAATTTTGATTTTGAAAGCCCCAACATTGAGAGAGATGGGCCCTGCTATGATACCATGTGAAATTAAGTCTTAGGTCTAACTCACACCCCAAAAGCTAGCTTAAAGAGAGGAAGATTGTCCAAACTTTATAAGGAGTCCACCAATCTTATTAACTAACAATGTAAACTTTTTTGTCACTCTTACTCTTTAATAGTATTTTCTTTGAAAAATATGGTTTATAAAAATGTTTGATGAGAAATTGTTGATTGAAAGATTTTCATACACTATCAATATAATTTAATATATAGTGTTACTTATTAATTATAACTTATATCCAGATTATTAATATATAATTTATAATGATTTATAGGTATCTGTTCACCTACATGTTGCATGCATCAATTTATTTTACATCGTTAATATATAAAAAGCCTAAATTCCTACCTTTTAAAAAACTGTACGTTTTATAAGTACTCCACATGTGTATGTGAGAAAGGATAAATGGGAAGAGAATCTAATTTATGGAATTTGAATCCTCTTTACATTTAAACCTAAAAAAAAATAAAAAAAATCTACATATATAATAAGAACGTTTTTCTTTTTAAAAAAA